TCGACAAACTGGATTGTTCTCTTGGTTTTGATGGTAGCAATAGATGCGTTGACATCCTTTGGCACGACGTCACCACGATACAACAGGCAGCAAGACATGTATTTACCATGACGTGGATCACACTTCACCATCTGGTTGGCTGGCTCAAAGCAAGAGTTAGTGATTTCTGACACAGTAAGCTGCTCATGATAAGCCTTCTCGGCTGAGATTACGGGAGCATATGTGGCGAGAGGAAAGTGGATACGTGGATAGGGTACCAAATTGGTCTGGAACTCAGTCAAATCTACGTTCAATGCACCATCGAATCGAAGAGACGCGGTAATGGAAGACACAATTTGGCCAATTAGACGATTCAGGTTGGTGTATGTTGGTCTTTCGATGTCAAGGTTTCTTCGACAGATGTCGTAGATAGCTTCGTTGTCGACCATAAAGGCACAGTCTGAGTGCTCGAGCGTTGTGTGAGTGGTTAGAATAGAATTGTATGGCTCGACAACAGCGGTGGCAACTTGTGGTGCTGGGTAGATGGCGAACTCGAGCTTGGATTTCTTTCCATAATCAACTGACAGTCGCTCCATTAAAAGTGATGTGAAACCAGATCCAGTGCCACCACCAAAGCTGTGGAAGATCAGGAAGCCCTGGAGGCCAGTGCAGAGGTCCGCCTAGTTAAAAAAAAAAACATGGGAAAGAACACCAACTTGTATTATTCAATATTGCGTTTTACGTATAACGAATTGATATTGCCTATTGGCGAGTCTGCAAAAAGTAACTTTCAATATCCTATTACATTAGGATCAACATACCAATTTGCGGATTCTGTCCAATGCTAGATCTATGATTTCTTTTCCGACTGTGTAGTGTCCTCTAGCGTAGTTGTTGGCGGCATCTTCTTTGCCGGTGATCAGCTGCTCTGGATGGAAAAGCTGACGATAGGTACCAGTACGGACCTCGTCGATCACGGTTGGTTCAAGATCGACGAACACAGCACGAGGGACGTGCTTGCCAGCACCAGTCTCGCTAAAGAATGTGTTGAAGGAATCATCACCACCTCCAATGGTCTTGTCACTTGGCATCTGTCCGTCAGGCTGGATACCGTGCTCCAAACAGTACAACTCCCAACAGGCATTGCCCATCTGGACACCAGCTTGTCCGACATGAAGAGAGATGCATTCACGCTGGTTTAGAAAAAAAAATACTTATTGCATGAAAATATTTAATCTTGAATAATTTAAAAAGCCATATGCTGATTTTGTGCATCCTAGCGACAACTATATTCAGTAACGTATCGGGATTAACATGGGGAGGGGTATTAACATGGGAAGTGGTATAACATGGAGAGAGGAAAGGTAACACTGGAGCTGGGAGAAGCGATGAAAAATGAAGAGCTGATATCTAATGGAATTATGTAATTTTTTTCTACTTCAGTTTAGTGTAATATTTGTTACTCGGCTAAATTTCCATTTTGAGGCGCGTGGGTATGGAAGAGGGGTGCAGACTTCCTATATGTAGAATTATATATTATGCCTATATAATGCATATAAAACAGTTTATTACAACATCTGCCTTGCGCAGCATTATTTGGGAAAAGTTTCATCATGTTTCATAGATGAAACAGGATCATGGTTCGTCTGCACGAACCATCATGATGACATAGATTAGAATATTATAGGCCGGAGTGTTGGTTAGCAGATAATCATTATTTAAATTCATTTTATCTTTAATAAACTGCCATTCTATTTGTTCATCTATTGATAGTAGTGATTTTCCCCGCGACGAAATTATCTTTTGTAAATACCGACACTATTTTGAATTGTGCTTGTATCGTATCAGTTGTTGTAACAATCCCCAATCACGAATCTATCAATTATAAGAATACTTAGCTTGGTAACCGTTTCAATTGTTTAATTTAAAGCAAACATATTTAAATACAAAGATATGAACTGATATCACTGTGTAAATATATACTTATTTAAACACCCGATTTTATTTGGGCATGGTCGCAAGACCTAAAATGTGTGTATTCATGTTGATGCGCTGTAGACGTAACCCTGATACTGAAATTATATATAAGCCTACGTATTTCCGTGAATTGTATCACGCTGTTGCTATAGTGACGACGCTGTGTACACCCGAAAATTTACTAACAAGATAACTTTTGAATACGGACCTTTGTTTACTACTACTAGGTTTATTATTATTATTATTACTATTATTATTATTATTATTATTAGACGACTACTATATATATATAAAATAAAACACGTACAAGTGGTAATAGATTTGCTTCAAAATTTATTGAGAAAAAATAGACGCTGTGTACACCCAACAAATTTAAGGATCCACTAACAAGATAACTTTTGAATACGGACCTTTTTTTACTAGGCTTTTTATTATTATTATTATTATTATTATTATTATTATTATTATTATTATTATTATTATTATTATTAATATTATTATTATTATTATTATTAG